CAGGGACATCAAGCCCGACAACGTGCTGATCGACATGAACGGACACATCAAGCTGGCGGACTTCGGCTCCTGTCTGCGGCTGGGCAGCGACGGGAAGGTGGGTGACCGGGTGTGGGGGGATTTCAGGGGATTTAGGGAATCGGAGGAGGGATCAGGAAGCAGGTGGCAAGATTTTCATGTTCTGACGTTAGAACAAATTAATAAAGATTTTGATCATCACGGCACGAGACAGTTTGGGGAAGTAAATTAAGCCGGGAGACTGCACTACTGGCAGGCCTGTGTTAACCTTTCACCCCTGACCTCTGATCTGTGAACCCCGGACCCCCCCAACCAGGTGCAGTCATCGGTCGCCGTGGGAACCCCGGACTACATCTCCCCCGAGATCCTGCAGGCGATGGAGGATGGCAGGGGGCGCTATGGCACGGAGTGCGACTGGTGGTCTCTGGGGGTGTGCATGTACGAGCTGCTCTTCGGGGAGACGCCCTTCTACGCCGAGTCGCTGCTGGAGACCTACAGCAAGATCATGAACCACAAGGTGAGGGGTCAGGGGGCTCCAGCGAGGGTCGGGGGGCGCCAGAGAGGGGGTGGGGGGGGGAGTTTAAAGGAGGTTAGAGAGATGGTTGGGGCTAAAAAGAGGGGTGGAGTTAAATATGGGAGGAGTTAGCAAGAGAGGGTGGGGCTAACAAGGGGGTGGGGTTAGAGATGGGAGGAGTTAGCGGTACAGAGGGTGGGGCTAGAGAGAGGGTGTTGGGGGGTTAGATAGGGATGGGGGTTAGAGACAGGGGAGAGATGGGAGGGGAGGGTCAAGGGAGGGGTGGAGGAGGAGGAGGTGGAGGACCCCAGTGTGTGATCTCCTGTCCCAGCCTGAGCCTCCCTAATAATAAGGTCTCATTTTTTATCCATGTCTACAAATGTTTGGGGTTAACTGTTTCTGCTTTGGCAACATTGTCTGCCCCCCCCGCCTCCACCAGGAGCATCTCAAGTTCCCCTCTGATGTCACCGACGTGTCCGCTGAGGCCAAGGACCTGATTGGCCAGCTGATCTGTGACCATGACAGCCGACTGGGCCAGAAGGGTATTCAGGATTTCCGGGATCACCCGTTCTTCCAGGGGATCAAGTGGGATCGCATCCGATCCAGCACCCCCCCACACATCCCGGATGTCAGCAGCCCAGCAGACACCTCAAACTTTGATGTGGACGACGAGTCGCTGAAGAACCCAGTCAGTAACCCCAGCACTCCGTCTGAGCCTTTGCCTGTCTGTCTGTCCATCCGTCTGTCTCTCTGTCTGAGCCTCTGTCCATCTGTCTGTTCCAGG